TTTCCTATTATTCATCAATGATTTGTCTAGTTGTTTTTGTCATTATAATTATCTTTTTTATGCTGATGATTTGAAACTTTTTAAAATCATACGTTTTACTGTGGATGCTGAAAACCTTCAACTTGATTTAGAATCTTTAATTGATTGGTGTGATAAAAATTGGCTACCTTTAAATTTAAAAAAGTGTTACATAATCTCATTTTATAATACGAAATCTTTCATTGAGTTCGACTATCAATTAAATAATCATCCTGTGTCTCGTATTTCAGAAATTAAAGATTTGGGGGTAATATTTGACTCTGCTCTTTCCTTCAAATCTCATTATTCGTATATTTTCAAAAAATCTTTGCAAATATGGGGACTCATTTGGCGTAATTGTAAGGATCTTTCTCCAGTGGCCTTAAAGACTCTTTTTTGTTCTTTGGTCCGCTCTCATCTAGAGTATTGTTCCTCCATTTGGCTTCCAATTTACCATGTTGATTCTGAACTGTTGGAAAAAGTGCAAAAAAGGTTTCTCCGCACTTTAGAATATAAGCTAGGCCGTAGGCACAATAAAGGTGATTACCAATGGATTATGAATAAATTTAACATCCAAACATTGAGTGTTCGAAGACAGATTGCTGATGCTTGCGTTCTTCATGGGATTATTAATGGCTATATTGACAATCCAGATTTGTTAGCTAAGTTGTCCTTCGTCGTCCCGGCAGTTGACAGTCGATCTACACGTAACCTATCTATTTTTAGGATTCCTCCTGCGACAACTAATTTCTCTGCTAATCATCCTTTAAGAAGAATTATGGAGGCTGCTAATGGTTATATCAAACGCAAAGAAGTTAGTTTATTTAGTTCTTCCAAAGCGGTATTCAAGAATAAAATTACTTTTTATTACCGACATTAAGTTTTTTTTTATGCATGCTAGTATCTGTATCAAGGAATATATTCACCAGTTTATCTATTTATTAATAATTTTTTTTTTTTTAGTTATAAGTTAGTTATTTAAAAATTATATATATTTCTCTTCTTATGTAATTGGAGTTTTCCGTTAATAAACCATTATTATTATTATTATTAATTTCAAAACTGAATATTTTGAAATCTTGACGTTTTGAAGTTACTGTAAGCATGGTAACTTTTTAATGAAAATGTATCTGTTTATCAAACCCAAAAAATTGATTAGGGTATCGCAAAATTTTGCCGAATTAATTCTTTCGCAAATGTGCAAAATATGAACAGACTTTTAATCATTGCATTCATATTTTTTAGATTTGCTTAAAGAGGTGACTAAAAAAAATCAATGAATCAGTCAATTTATTATTGATCAAATTAAGAACGAGCCACCCCATTTATTTCTGGAAAATGTGAGAATACGCTCGTCTTTATAACAATAAAATAATGATAAGGTAAGGATTATAATAATAACATTTAGAATATTTTGTTCAATGGAGGCTTATGAATAATTTTAGTCATCTGTTTTGGGGCGATAAACTCATTCAAATCAAAGAAATGTCTACGTGACATTCTTCCGATGTAATATATTCGGTTGATAATGTGCTGTAAATACATTTTTTGCACTCATAACCTTTTTTTGTGACCTTGGCGCATTCAGCAGCATGCAGGACGTCGAACGTCACGCACAGATGCGTTTTGCAATGCTTTGCCACGGTAGCCTAGCCCGGAAACGTCAAATTGCTAAGTGTTTACGACGTCGTTGTTTATAAATAAATAAAGCAGTCGCAATTTATTCATCCTATCTACCCGTCTGAAGTGCGGTCGGTGCATACTTGCCTTACTCGCTTCTCGCTTTCCAATAGGCATCTTGCACGTTTTTGAGTAAAGCCAGAAAATGATTCAGCAGAACTCATAAAACAAGGGTATTGTTGTAAAAAGTGCATGGGATTATTCATAGTGTAGCAATAAATTATTAAAAATTAATATTTAAATCACGCGCACTTTTGCACGTGACGTCATAAGCCATACATTGTTGCCAAGTCGAGGATGTTTCCGTATTAATATAGGGACTTTTTATGGTCGGCTGTACTGTCAAGTGCGGCTCTCCCAAAAAACAGCGTTGGACAAATAGCGCGCGATTAAAAAACTGCGACAAAACAGCGCCGGGACAAAAAAGCGCTGTAAAAAATGGCGTAGGACAAGATCATTTAGAGTCTAAAGGGCGCTAGGACAAATTAGCACGCGACAAAATAATCTGCGACAATTAATAGTTACCTATTAATTGTATTATGTATTGTCTTATTACTATTAGGCATATAGAACACGTCAGAAAAGGGTAGACAAGCGAGAATGATGTCCTGATGTGAATATTAATATGAATATTGACGTAAATGTTAAAAATTACCTTTACTAGCCCAATAAAACGTCTCAAAACGGTAATACTATAGCCTCCAAATAGATCGGTTATGAATAAACCACACAAAATCAACTCAACTTTATTTCAGAACTAGAAACAGACTTCAAAAATTAAACAAACAATAAACGATTAAAGTGATAAGTTTAACGCCACAGATTTCAAATAGTTTTCAACATTTACAAATGAGTACTCCGAAACCAATAGGTTCAACCGCTTTCTCAGCTGAACATATTTACAGTTGGCCGATTCTCAAACTCTTATTCCCGATCTGTACCTCGCCATATGCATTTTTGTAGCACTTTGTTCTCTGTCTAATAAGCTTATAGATTTGAGGGTGTTGGCAATCCAAAGAGTGTTTGAAAGAGTTGTGCCAAGCTTCCAACTAGTTGTTCGTCCTTGGTAGGTCCGTTAACATTCGATCAAACATATTCCAGATGTTGATATCGTACCTAGACCTCAAATTATGCATTCGTTTTCCGAAGTAAGTTTTCTCCCAATATTCTACAAAAGGTAGCAGTTCATGAGGAAAATTTTCATCGATAATCTCCAACGCAAACTGCACGTCCCTTTCAGGTACAAATGCGAGAGCAAGCAACATCTTACATCCTATTCTGACTTCGCTGTTGTTCCGTTAGATGGGTTTGCTGAATTTTTCGCCATAAATTTTGGCTTAGATGAAAAAACCGCCGACGGTTCTTGCTTGCCCGAAACACCTTCTGACTGCACTCAAAGATGCTATTTCGAAGTCCACCAAAACTGTTTCTGGGTCCAAGTTTGGTTCCACTTCCAGTATGCTTTCGAAAAATTTCATGTAAGTTTGTCCTTGCTTGTTGGGCAATAGACCGAATATCACAGGAATCGCTTTTCCGTCTATTATTACGTGCACGGTAAATAATTATTGAAATAATGGAGGCGAGGTCTTGAATGTACCGTCGATCGCCCAGTGCCGAAACTCCTTTAATGTGTCCAAATTCGTTCTGGTGATAAAAAACAAGAATTCTTTGGTTATCTCCCAAGTCTGTGTCTAAGAGCAGAAAATGTTCACCTCTTCCCGAAATCCTGTGGTGTTCTTCAATTACGACTTCCTCTCGGCAGGTAAAATTACCAGAGCTTCTCGAGTCGTATGTCGGTAAGAGGACTGCGGCTTCTTTGAAAGTACTTCCGATGGAGGTTTGAATTATCTGCCTTGGTTTTGGAAGTTTCTGCCAATTCCCTCATAGATTGCTTCACCCTTCCGACTTCTCTCTTCGCCGAATCTGAGCCGTGACTATGAGCCGTTGTTGAAGTCGGTTCACTTGAATTTTCTGACACTAGCAATCTCCCCTTCCATCCTTCTTGAGAACACCTCCAAGAAACGGAATGGATGTTCTCTTTGTCTTTGCGGCAGCGGTAACCACCATAAAACAATATTCTTCCACCTTTTTGTGATTTCGCAAATTCCATGACGGGCGTTTGAAAATTTGACAAAATGAGAAAAACTTTGGATTGGCACAAACCTACTACAAAGCTAAAAATGCCGCGCTATTTCATGGCGCAATAAAATGTCCCAGCCCTATTTAATCGCGTGCTGTTTTGTCTCGGCGTTTTTTTTCCATATTATTTAATTACTGGGCTTTTCTGTCTCGGCGCTCTTTTGTCGCGGTTTTTTTAGTCGCGCGTTATTTTGTCCAACGCTCTTTTTTGGCAGAGTCGACATCGTAAAATAGGTTATACAATTATAAGAGGTTATGTATGACACGTACATAACCTCAAGTTATGTACGCGTCATTGAAGAACAAGTTCTTCAATGTTGCCATGTTCAGCACTGATATGATTGGACTATGGCTTATGACGTCAGAGACCAGGTTCCGCCTTTAAAATAAAACTCAAGAATTAAGACTCTGGATATTTTTTACAATTTTTTTTTCAACTTTTGTTGAGGACTTTAGGTTCTATATTACATAGGGAACACTTGCATCAATTTTTATTAAAATTGGCAGTTGAGTGCAAGTACCCTATTGTGCATCATTTTTAATAATTTCGATGAATAGTTTTATTTTCAGCGAGACCGACACTTGAAAATTATTAAAAATATTATTATTATTATGTCGTGGATATGGATTTTAAACTCATCAACTGACGTTCAGTTAACGTTAGTTTTCTCATAATTTCTTCGCGATGCCTAACACCGGTTGCGAGCCACTGGTCTGCCGTAGTCCATACGCAGCGCATAAATTTCAACCAGAGATAACTCTCTCTGTTTCAACCGTCTAGCCAAATTTTTTTAGTATTACACTACATCTATCCAAACTGATATATACTGATTTGCAAAAATGTTGATGACGTCATCGCAAAAATTTTTTAAAATGCTCCGCTACAAAAATGTAATGAGAAAAAAAAAACATAATAGACATGCCGTCGTCACGTTTCCGACAGCGAAGGAAGTACTGTGTAAACTCTCTAAACCAATTTTTTTTCAGTTTCTCAGTGTTGAATTTGTCTGATTTTTTCTTCGATTTTTTAGTTTTTCTGGAAAGGAGAAAACATTTGTGACACGTGTTGAACGAGTTCAAAATAAAGAATGCACTAGGTTACAAAAATTATTAACTTTAGGAAAATCACATTGCAGACAGTCGTTAAGAAAAAATATGCATACCTATCATTATCCACTGTAAACCCTGCAACCAATTATTCACCAATGGACACCATACGTTCTATGACCTGCAATTTTATAATAATTGATACACCGTTTCAATCTCGTTTTGACCACAGAAACTACAAAATCTATCTACAACGTACAATGAATAACATACCACATCAAAGTTAAAAACCTTCAATTTCGTATGTCAAAACCAAAACCATAATAAGCACCGACTACAAAACCGTAACTGTCTTATCAAAAAACATACAAATAGTGATTAGAAGATTAATCACAGCAACTAAACGTATACTACTCTCTAATGTATCCCCGTCCACATACAAGATAATAATAGCCAAAGCATTAAAATTTTAATTAAAAACGCTGTCACAAAATAATAACGTTTCTGTGAAAGAGGATCTATAACCGTTGCTTAGTTCACTTTGGTATACTATAGAATTTTTCTCTCAGATGACGAATTAAAATTGGAAACATTTGCTGGAACAATAACAAAATAAACATTAAATTGAGCTTTTCTTGTATATTAAGTTGCATAACTCACATGTGTTGTATTATTTATAAACAAGACATAGTTTGCAATAACATTAGGTCATTTTGAATGATTTTAATTTTTAACAAAATTCCAAACCTATAATTTTCCGTCCTATGCCCTTTTTTTCGAAGAATTAAATTTAAAACAAAATTCTATGGTATACGTAGATCCCCAACGTGTGAAATGCCTTGTATTACTGGTTATCGCAGTTGAACAACTTTGTGGTAATTGTGAGAGAAATATTAATTCCTCGTATTCAAAGACCGATGTGATATTTTTTTATTCAAGTATTTCTTTAAACCAATACTTAACATTTACTGCAAAACTCTGGTCGATTGGTGTACTTAGCACTAGCAGAATGTGGTAAAATTTTTTGGGATTGGCAATATAAGCGTATCTAAATGTTGGCAGTATTGTCTGAATCGTATGTGGAAAACATTATTTCGTTGCAGAAGCTGCAACGAGTGGGTATTTATTCATTTCTTGGAAAATACGTATAAGAGATCCGAGACATCATTCGCAACGTTTGCAGAGTCGTGGTGTGTGTAACAGGAGCACAGAGGTTCGTAGTGATTTTTTATTACAACTTCATTATAGTTTATTACTCCCATCGCTTAAACCTTTTTCTCATTTTGGTAACGTTTTTCATAATTGTAAATTAAGATTAAAAACGACACCTCATTATCGCCATTTTGGTTTTTACGACTGGTATTTATTTATGCGTATCAAGGTTATCAACATTTATCGGGAAGAGGTTGTTTTTTCCGGTGTCGATGCAGTCGGAGGAAAATTGCGATAATAAAAATTGCACCGAACAGCATTTTTATTTATGTCTTAATTTTATGCGTAACCATTTAATTGGGTGATTAATTGATAGTACTGGACCACAACCTAATTTAATTATGTTTTCATGACTCATGGGTATTCCCATCTTATCACTGTGTGCTAAGTTATCAGTAATAAAAATAATTACATCTGCAGTGTTCTTTATTGAATAAGTGCCGGAGCTAATGAGGTGCGTATTCTATAAATAGAGTATCGTACAATCGCTTTATTGAGTATTATAATTTTATATCAGATTCATTTATTAGAAAAAAATGCCAGTCTTGCCATTTTTTTGCAATTTTATACATACATACCTCAGAATAATTAGTCCACCAAACTATTTTATTCCTAAAATTTTATTTTTTTTAATATATCCGCATAATCTGATTAAAACATTTAGACGTAATATCACTTCTGTGGGGTCACTATTGATTAAGATTTTTTTATACTGTTGAGTGTACGTTATCCGTGTTTGATGTTTTTGAAATAATTCGAATTGCAATTTCTGAACTACAGTCAAAAGAAGTATTATAATATGCTAAGTAAAACTTATGAAGAATCATTTGCTTCCATCCATGAGTTCTATTAATTCACTCCGATTTATAATATTGTTAACTTAGAAATTAGTAAATTATGTCATCTTACGCTTTTCTTAAATAAATTTATTCCGACATCCCGTATTTGTGGTTTAATAATTTTTATATTTTGAACGATGCGTGATCATCGAAAAAAAAAAATGTAAAAGCAACGAACTTTTGTCAATTTTGGCATAATACTAAGACTTTGATTCAATAGTAATGTTACCGAACAACGATTAAAATTTATTTATTCTGTGTGGTGAAAAGGAAACAACAATCAAGTAACGTTGCGGTAGCTCTTAAACCTGCTGACGATTACAGGTCAAATTGTCAAGATTCTGTCACTTTTAGGAAATTATTCTCACCTTAATAAAATTATTAGGCTGGGTGTAAAAAAAAAAACTGATGCAACCACAACCTTAAAATAATTTGTGGTTCCCAAAGAACTTCTAACAGTATATTCAGATCTAATAAAGTAAATAATAAACGCAGTCATCATTTTAAATCAGATTCACCATTACTTTGTGTGATCGACCCCACCAACAATTTGATGGCGTCACCGAAAATATTGCGCAATAAACGATATTAAAATTTTATAAAATAACATATTTCTATACCCGTGGTGTATGAAACTGTCCGATTTTTTACCATTTTTCGACATTTTCGATATCGAGATTGCTGAAGAATCATGCAAATTGTATAACAATATTTTGTAGTTTAACTTAAAAACTGCAAAATCAAGTGCTCTGAAATGTTGCAAAGCTTTTTTTTTTAATCGTTAATCAAGATTTAAGTGTTTCTTTGTTTGTGCTGGAGATATCTTATCTAAAATGTACAAAATATTGTCAGTCTACAGATATAAGTATTTCCCACAAATACTTATATCGAATGAGAAAAAAAAGAAAGAATGAAGTAGTTTATTTTACTGACGAAATTAAGAACGCGTTGAAGCGTCACTTTTTTTAATGTAATGCAGGCAGTTGGGTAGCCAGATGTCATATTGAAATAATTTTTATTCGTTACCCTTCGAATAGGAGAACGTCTTCCCAGGCAAGCGGATTTATTGCATTGATAGTAACTGTTCAGAAGTAGTATTTCCGACTACTGTTGGAAAGTATGTTTTGAAAATGGCTGCCAGTTATTCTTTTCAATGCTGTTTAATTTTTTTATTGAGTTTGCTTAATAGTGCTAGTTATAAGATTAATGCAGCTGGCTATAAACTATTAAAAAAATCATTCTTTAATCCATCATAGCTAACTCCAAACTATTAAAATTTGCTATATTTTAACGACTATAAAAATTAGCAACCTTTTTTTTAAATTTTTTCCCCATGCTATGAGATTCTTCTTAACTTGCCCCACCAGCTCTAAATGAATGAAATACCTTATAGTATTTTAAACGGTCGTTGACTTACTATTCGCTGTTAAGACTTAATTGCGATCCAACTGACCCATGCAAATGTTAGTTCCGCTCCATTCCGCTGGTGGGTGGAGCTTGAGTTTTTCCAGTGCCTCTTAAACAAAACAAATATTGCAGTGTGTTAATAATAAATAACTTTTATTGCCCAACAGATATACAATCCTTTTATAGGACAATACCAAAAAGAAAAAAAAGTAGTACATACAATAATACTATAATAAAAAATATATAAAAATACAGTAATATGAAAATAATAATAAATGCTTTCCCATTACATTTTACATCAACAAAAAATATCTTCATATAGTTTTCCAGCACTTACGTACACGTGCGATAGTGGCGCTTTACGTAACAAGTTGGTTCTTGGTCGTGGTGGTAAGAAGGTACTTGCGAATCAAATGTTATACCTAGATCTTTAGCATTTTGACAATTTTTTAGATGTTGACCATTTATAGTATCCGTAGAATGCACAGGATTTACTTTCTTTGTGAATGTCATATAGAACCATTTCTCAGTATTTAATACCAGTTTAACACTATAGTTTTAATAATAATTTACTAATTTATCAAAGTTAGTTTGAAAGATTTTAACATCATTGATATTATTAATTGAAGAGTATAACTTTATATCGTCTGCATATGCCAGTACTTTACAATTAAGAAGCTCTAATAGATCATTGATAAATATAACAAAAAGCAAGGGACCCAAATTAGACCCTTGGGGGACTCCGGAAGTGGAAATAAAATTCATGGACTTAAAACCATTATATGAAACATAGCTAGGACGATTATTTAAATACGATTGCAATAACTTGAGAGAACTGGCCGCAAATCCAAAACAGCTTAGCTTATTTAATAAAGTACAATGATCTATTGATTCAAAAGCACTAGAAAAATCAGTATAAATAACATCGACTTGATTATTATTTCTGTCTAATTCTTGCGAGATAAACTGTGTAATTACTGCTAAATTGGTAATTGTGGACCGACCTGGTAGAAATCCATGTTCGTGAATGGAGAGATGACTTTTAATATTATAATAGATATTTCGATAAATCAGAATTTTGAATATTTTGGCGAAGTTGGAAAGGATTGAAATAGGTCTATAGTTTTTTATTAAGTGGCAATCACCTTTTTTAATGACAGGAACAATTCTCGCTATCTTCCATTTATCTGGAAATGTTGCTGACTTAATGGCTAGGTTAATGATAATAGCAATAGGTTTTGCAAGGACAAATCGGGTATCATGAATCAAGAAACTAGGAACGAGATCATCTCCGGCTGTCAATTTATTAGATAAGGTTGACATTACAGATATAACTTCATCTTCGGAAACATTTTGGATAATAAAAGAAAGATTATTAGTGTAAGCATCCGTTACAGTAGCATTTAGTTTTGGTCTAAAGGAACTTGAAAATTGTTCTGCAAACATATCAACACAGTGCTGAGGATTATCACTTTCCCTGGCATTATGACACAGTTTACTAGATACGAGTAGTATCTTTCTTACATTGAACATATTTCCATAGATTTTTTGGAGAATCATATAGAGAATTTTCAATTTTATTACTTCCCGAGCGTAAGCAAAGGAAGTATTGTAATCGAGTCCGTCGGCCGACTCTCTACTTTTACGTTTTCTCGATC